TTTCTATCTCTGGAATGCTAGGATTAAAGGTGTGTACTATCACTGCCTAACTAGTGGCTTTTCTGTTCTCTGACCCCAGATAAGTTTGTTAAGGTACACGATATTTTGGGGAACACAATATCACCCCCCCACACACACACACAAATAAATAAATAAATAAATAATAATGAAAAATCTTTTAAGAAAGAGATAAAAAAGCAGACTCAAGAAGAAATGTAGAATATTTCCAAAGGAGAAAAGCAGGCCCAAGATCTACCGCTATATGTACAGTATTTGTTAGGTAATATTAATTAATATTTAGTTTACCAGAAAATAGTTTGGATATACTACTAGTAATAGTTATGACTCAAATAATAACTAAAAATTACTATACTATGAAGGTTATACCCATTATCTTTAAAACCTCCACAAACTAGACATTAACTCTATCCCATACTTTATTTATGGATTATGAAATGAAAGACCACTGGCACAGTAGACAAAATTTAAATGCATTCACCAAAAGTCATTTGTTTGTGCCTTTCTCTTAGCCGATGAATTATGAATCAAGGCTTCTAAACTTGAGTTTGAATTCACCAGATCTGAAAGTATAGTTTTAAAGTGTCTATTCTGATTCACAATGAGTGAGTTTCTGCTACTCTATATTTCTGATGAGCTCCCCAATGGTTCTGATGGTTCCGATTTTTAGTAACACACTTTAAACAATAATCCTATATAATATAACAAACTGGCAGAAACAAGTAAGGCAGTAGTTCTTCCCGTAAGGAGCTGGACGTGAGGAGACACATCCTGGCTTACAGACTTTACTCAACTCTGACAGCAATGTATCTCGAGCACTGAACTTGACTTGTAAAATCATGGCTTGCTGAATACATAACCGAATGTGTATTCTAAAAGATTCATGTAAGCTAAATGTGCCCTGCATATAGTTGGTGGGGACACTAAAGAACACAGAAGTCAATGTGTCTCTTTATTAATGTTTTCAGACCTGGGAAAGCTCCTGCAGTAAACAGGGTAATAAGTTGATTTCGAATCGGTATGCTCTGTTGGCCATGGGAGACTTAATACTTGGCAAACAGCTCAGAATTTCAGCATGCTGACAAAGAAGCAATGTTTAGTGTGAGGCCAGAGACTGCAGATGGTGCATTTACTCATGTCAGGGTGTTTTCAGTGGATGTCCCCTGCACATTGTGATGGTCCTCAATTTGAACCTTGGCCACTCAGGCTCTTGTAGAAGTGGGAGAGCAGAGGGGAAACCCAAGAGGGTCTCAGAAACATGGAAGAACCCCTTGTCTGCTGTGAGTAGTGTCTTGAGATCTCAGCCCAGTGGCTGTCACTCAAGGGCTGCTCACTGAGTATTTAATGACTGAATTCCTTAAACCCAGAGGTAAAACTGCCCTCCAAGAAGGTTTCCATACATTGAAACCATGGAGACCACAAAGGATTAGAATATTTTTTTTTAATCTGGTTAGTAAGAATTATAGTAAATAGAAGACCTAAAAGTCAATGGGGGACCTTGGTAGATCTGAGCATTACTGTATAACTCCATCCCATGCCATCTAATGAAGAAAGCGGGTGGGTGGGGCTGGGGAGATGGCAAGCGTGAGGACCTGAGTTCAATCTTCAGCACATACATAAAAAGCCGGGTGTGGCGGTGTGTGTTTGTAGTCCAGCACTGAGAAGATTATATGGGTCACTGGGATTCACTGGCTAGCAAGCCTAGCCTAAGAGGCAAGCCTCAGGTCCATGTCTCAAAAGACAAAGTATGTGCCACCTGAGATTGGCCTTGGCCTCCACATGCATAGGCATGCACATGTGTATGTACACACATGTGCGCGTACCCCCCCCCCCACACACACACACAGAGGAGGGGGAGATAGATCAAAATCTCAGCCAGTTGTCTTGAATTGTACTTCGGATTAAAGGCCAGATATTCGCTCAGTAATTGGCTTTATTGCTCCATTTTCCCCTGCAGTTTCGGAGATCCCTTCTACAGCTCCTGTGCTGCCGACTGCTGAGATGCCAACGGCCTGCTAAAAACCTACCAGCAGCGGAGAGCGAAATGCAGATCAGGCCCATCGTGATGTCACAGAAAGATGGGGACAGGCCAAAGAAGAAAGTGACCTTTAACTCCTCCTCCATCATTTTCATCATCACCAGTGATGAGTCCCTGTCCGTGGACGACAGTGACCGAAGCAATGCATCCAAGGCCAATGTCATCCAAGTCCGTCCTTTGTAAGACTGGAAGACACGCCTTGTATCTGTCACACAACGTCTACTCTCAGGACGGCCCTGGAGTCCCCATTCGGTATAGTAACCGTAGAACCTCGTGGCCGACCCGGAAATCTGAATTACCCATAGGCTGTCTATGTTCAAGAAGCGACTGAGCAAGACAAATTATTTTCATTCAATGGGTGCTTTATCACATGAGAAACTCCTGGTGGCACAAAGTGAGCGTTTGGCACCATCGTCTACCATGCCAGGATTTAAACTTCGAATGATCATATTTGCCAAAGCACATTATACATTCTGTTTCTCAGACCTTGTTCATTGTATAAATGACTGTCTCATACATGTGTGTGCAATGGCCGGGACAGCTGGGGTATGTTATGGCATTGGGTCCTATTCTGTGTCATGCTGTGTGTTTGACCAATTCAGTTTATTAAGGAGGTAATAAATCAATCCCTACTTTTCTCTGAAAACCAAAGGCTGTTGTCATGTGTGTAGTGTGACCGACAAGGCAGTCAGATTAAGAAAGCAAGCTCCAGAAGGTACTGTAAGAAGCATCGTAGAAAAACAGAGACTCGTGTTGGTCATGTCGATGGTTTGATGATACCACAGTGGAGAATGTGCATAGAAAAAAGGGTGGTAAAAACAGAATGATACCTCCATCAATTCATTTCAGAAATTAGTTTGACAAAGTCTCCTTTCCTTTTAATAATTTCCCACTATTTTGTCAAAACCCCTGCCGAGGAGTTCCCAGTAAACCAAGTTACATTCAGAGAGGGATGAAAATAAACATTTTAGTGTGTTGATACCATGCAATATTATTTAAATTTTGGTACATTTGTTTATTTATTTATTGTATGTATGTGTGCATGTACACACTCACGTCATATTGTGCACGTGGAACTCAGAGGACAACTTGTGGGAAACAGTTCTCTCCTTCCACTATGTGCATCCCAGGGATCGAACTAAGGTCACCAGGCTTGGCAGCAAGCACCTTTTCTCACTCAGCCATCTCACCAGCTCCATACAATGTGTTTTTAAATTTTCATTGCTTATCAGTAGGATCCCGGATATCAGATGTGCCATGTTAGTGAGGAGAGCATCTTCCCACGTGTCGTTGTTCATACCTGGAGGAGAACAGCACACCCTGCCCCCAAATATGCTCCTTTTTGTGGGGTTACCTTGAGTGGAAAGTCACTGAGACGTGACAATAGAGGAGAAGCCTCCCCCGACTTGCCAAGGTGACCTAAAGCTTGCTGCTCCAGGGGTTCCAATCCCGCTCCTTTGTCCTATCATGTCCCTATAGCTTTACTTCTTGTTGAAGATGACATAAATCAGGGCTTTCTACAGAAGCTTACTTTCTTTTTTAAATGTTTTTTTAAATGTACTAGATTTTTATTTAAGCTGTTTCCTCACGACATTGTATATCACACAGATTCCTCCCTTTTATATATGTTTTTAACTTAAAATAAAATTACATCATTTCCTCCCTTCTCTTTCCTCCCTCTAATCCCTTCCATGCATCCCCTTGCTATTTCTAGAAATTATGGCCTCTAAAGATTTTTTAATTATGGGGGGGGGCAGTCTATGTGTGGTTATGTGCACATGGGTACAGGAGCCCAAGGAAGCCAGAGGCATGAAATTAGGGGCAGTTTCGAGCTGCCTGACATGGGTGCTGAGAACAGAACTAGAAGCCTCTGCAAGAGTAGAATATGCACTAACAGCTGAGCCATCTCTCCAGCCCCTAAGCCAGCTCATTTTCTGGGCGTCTCCCATGTACATGTGAAATACACATGCTTCTCAACTTCAGTTTGCTCCCTTTTGACAATCTGTTATAGTAACTGCAGCCAACAAACTTAAGAAATAAAAGGAACAATTATACTATTGGTTTATTTTTGCAGTTCTAGGGAATCTAACCCAGAGCCCTGGGCACGCTAGGTAAGCACTCTACCACAGAGCTATGTTCCCTTTCTGAAAACAATACTTTTCTTTCCCTACACACCAAGCCTAGATTATTAGGACTCAAGGATGTCTTTGACAATATGAAAAATGCAAATGGTTTTATCTTTATTACCTCAGTCTTTATTACCTATGAAACTAGTATTGTAGGCCGGGCGGTGGTGGCGAACGCCTTTAATCCCAGCACTCGGGAGGCAGGGCCAGGCTGCCTGAGTTTGCGAGATCCAGGATAGGCACCAAAACTACACAGAGAAGCCTTGTCTCAAAAAAAAAATCTAGTACTGTAGCTTTCAAAATTAACCATGTTTGAAAAGAATTTCCAAGTGTACCAGTCAGCCCACTGAAGAAAGAACCAAAGAGTCTCCACACTGCACTTTGAAGATGACGTCAACGGTCACAGTGTGATGTTCAAGGCATCACTTCTGTGTGTCTGAAATGGAATGAACTATGTCTCCATGCTTCTGCAAGACAGCCTTCCCATCTCCTTTTCACTCTTGGATATATTTCATTTACTAATAACAACCCTTTCTTATTCTTCACTTAACATGCCATTAATAGGCCTTTCTTCAAAAGGTAATAATTCTGGTATCTGGAGACTGGGAAACAAATTCATCCTGGAACTCTTTGGAACATCCTGCCTTTCATTCACCCCCGATTCTAACAAGTGCTCTGAACCTGTGGTTAGGCAAACCTCATCGACTGCTACAAAGAGGAAGAAGCACACCAGGCAGGCTGTGGTTTTCAGTCCGGAATGTTGTTGCTCCTATAATGTCCCATATAAGAAAACTTGTTTTTGAGAAGTGAAAGAGACCTTGGTTATTGCAATTTTAATTTAAATTGACCCGGCCCAAGCATGCAAAGGGATGGAAACACCTCAAGAACAGCAACGGCATCTCCTCTCGTTCGGCTGACAAACACAGAATTTCTACATGGAACTTGGTTATATGCTAACAATTATTTTCCAGTAGTGAATTAAATGTGCCAGTGGAAACATGCATTTGGTCCTTGATTTTGGAGAGCAGTCAAGCATCTGCTACCTGGAACCTTGATGCTTTAGTTGGTGAAATGGGGAATTTTTCCTAGTGACTCCATGGAACTTGCCAGAAGTCACCTATGCTCCTATTCCAGTATCCCGTGGTTCCAGTCCATGGCAGCCTTCTCAAGAATCCCAGAGGTCTCGGGGGCATGTGCTGCACAAGTAGGTAGGCACTGCCAATGGCTATCAGGGATCCCAGGCCGAAGAGTCCTTTGTTTATCACCTGCAAGGACGGCAAACATCCAAAACAGTTCAGCCAGAGGGTGAATCTTGAGATAAACTTCCTTCCTACATCACAGATAAGTGTGCAACTCTCCCCCTATATATCATAGACAAGTGCACAGGTGTCTTCCTACATCACAGATGAGTGTGCAATTCTCTCCCTATATCACAGACAAGTGCACAGGAGTCTTCTACATCACAGATGAGTGTGCAATTCTCTCCCTA